AAGTGCAAGAGCGTTTCTACCAGAAGAAGAAAAAGAATTTGTAAAACTCTTCAATAAACAAAAATTCAGACCTAGAACTGCTATTTTAAAAGTTTGGTTTGAATATCCCCAAAAAATGTTCTTTCAACTCATACCAGCTAAAGATAAAATAACTTTTACGAATAGAATAGGTCAGAAGGAAACTGGCACTAAAATCAGGTTCAGAAATGGTTTCTGTCACGACGTTTTAACATCAGTTGATATTCAAGAAATAGTGAAATCCGGTGGTAAAATTATTAGAATATTAGATGGTATAGTATACGAAGAAAATTTTAAAACTCCACCATACAGAGATTATATTTTAATTTTGAAGGAATTAAGGAATAAATACAAAAAAGAAGGAGATATGGTTGCTAGTAATTGCATGAAATTATTAGGTAATTCCTTATACGGTAAATCTATTCAGAAGGATATAAATACATCGAGACATCTATGGAGTGAAGCGACTTTTAAAGCCAACTTCGATTCACACATCAAAAGCTATGAAAAGTAAATGATATAGTCAATATATAGTTGAGATGAATGAAGAAGAAAAAGAGTTTGTTCCTCCAAAGGATTATACTAGATTAACACCCACTCAATTAGGTGCATTTATATTATCTCATAGTAAAAAAATAATGAACAATTTCATTCACGTAATAGATGGATTTTATAAGCCGGAAATATACTATACAGATACCGATAGTTTATACATTTCGTCTAGTAATTGGGATAAATTAAATGAAGCTGGGTTGGTGTCTGAAAACGAATATAGCAAAGGGAAGAATGATTACGGTGATGGTGGAATCATATTTGGTTTATATTTAGCGCCAAAAGTAAAATACAATATCATTCTAACTTCCGATGGTGTTTTAAAAGAAAAGAAAACGTTTAAGGGTTACTCTAACTATAAGATTAAGGTAGAAGACTACATTCAATTAGCTAGTGGACATGACGTAACGAATGAATTTAAGAAACCTTGGGTAAAAAGTTTTACTGATGGAATAGTTATTCCTAATGAAAAACAAAAGAAAGTTTTCAGAAGTTATCTGAATCTCGTTAAAAGAAAAGCACCAAACAGTGAAGGAATTATGTATCCTTACAACAATAAAGATGAGATGTGTTTGGATGAAAACTATGAATTTGATGATTTCGATTATCTAACTATTCAAGAAGAGAATGAAGAGTGCTAATTTTTTTGTTTTAAATGAAGTTGAATAACAATTTCCTCGTTACCAAAATCTATAAACCTATTTTTACCATCTTTGATTTCCAGATTTATATCTTTAATCATAAAGGAATTAAGTGGTAAATACGTCGTTTGAAATGGTTTCTCTATAATTCTATATCCAATAGGAACAGGA